AATATGTAGTAGATGAAAAATAGTATACCAAAGAATCCTACTGCATTTAAAATGCTTGTGTATAAAAGTAAACATAATATAAATAACCCACCAATACATTGAATGGCCGGTTTGGCAGAGTGTAGAGGGAACTAGATATGCAACCATGTTCACGTGGCGAGATTCGAGTTGTTCTTATCTAAAACAATGAGTGAAGTAAAAATTCTGAAAAGTCTGTAAATGTATGTTTTTCTTTCTTTTTAAAACACTGCACGAACGTAAAGAATTACTGATCAGAATTTAATTTATTTAGTTTATTCAAACAAGCACATCAAACTAAAGCGTGCTTGCTTCATCAGTTTTAGCCAACTAAAATTTTTTTTAAGCTTTTGTAAATTTCAAATGCTCAGCGCATGCTGAAGATATTAACAGATTTTAAAGTGTTTTTGCCTATGTTATTCGCAATACAATAGGCAACAATTTTTCAACAATAAAGCTTTCCGAAATATAAACATTCTTATTTTTATACCCCCAGTACTGTATATGCTTTCAATGTGTACAGACACACTTTTTAAGAAAAATAAAGAATAATTATAATAACTTTTGAACCACTTGACTTATTTTTATTCTGTTAAGCGTTATTATCGATTTGCATCTCTATGAGAGAAAGTCCAGTCCTGTCCTATTTTTATTTTTTGAAGATTTAAATATATTTATATTTTTTTAGGTTGTAATTCTTTTTATACCAGGTATAGATATCTCAGGTGTTTTTAACAATGTGTTAATGCTATCGCTCCAAAGTAATCTCATTTATCACAAGGTAATATCTACGAATTTGCCAAATTGTTTTTCTCAAACTGCGCTTATCTATTTCCTCTACGTAATAATGATCCGTAATGTCCATCGTAAAGTCTATTTAAAATTCTCATCATAATTCGTTATAGTTAAACGAAAATTAAATCTTCATAAATTTCGATGTTTAACACTAACGCATCAAAAATATTTCTTAAATTCTTTTCTAAAGTTTGTGTAGTGAAAAAATTAAAACAATAGGACACTGCATAAAATTATAAGTACAATTCTAAACAAAACACACTAGAAAAGTTCTAATACGGTAAGAAAAATATTTAAAAAATGAATTTACTGTTGTCAGAGATGGATAGAGGATTTAGAAGATAGTAAAATGTAATAACAAACTTCTAAGTTCAAAATTATGAGAAGAATGCGTGAAAAATTGAAAACATGCTTAATAGAGGCAAAATTTTATAATGAATATTATCATTCTTAATTATTCAGTTCTTTAGCAAGCTTTCCACCAAAGAATAGATGAGATCCTCCTGTTTATTATTTCGCAACTGCACAAAAGTTCCATTTTCTGAGGATAACATTATCTGAAAGCCTATATGTTATAAGCGCATTTTGTGAATGCTTCGTCATGGCTTACATTATGCATGCACACTAATCAGTATAATTAAATGAAGTCCTAATTAAATAAAATACTATTTTATAAATAACATACTACTTTCACACACACACATATATATATATATATATATATATATATATATATATATATATTATATCAATTTAAAACTAATAACAGTTAATATATTAATTTTAAAATAGCCTGATAACTTTGAGTTTATAAGAAAGCTTTAGAAGTAAATAAAATAAATAACTGAACTGGAACAATTATACAACATTTCATAATATTATTTGAAATTTTTATTTTTAGATCTTTTTTAGTCCTAAATTCATATTTCTTTACACTTTTCTATTGCCTAATTTCTATTAAATTTTGCCTACGTTTTCTTAAGTGGGTAAAATACTAACTCACTTTTTAAGTAAATAAACGTTTTTAATGCATTAGGTGTTATTTAAAAGTAAGATTGTTATAACACTCTTTAACATTAATTTATCCATTAATCGAATTTAAGAAATTTAGTAATTATATGTCAAATATTCGCTTACCCTCAAGAGATGTTAGAAACATCAGTTTAATTTAATGGGCACCCGACTGTTTGTTTTCCTTTAAAGCTTTCAATATATATTAAGATAATCTTTCGAATCATTCACTTTCGCTTCAATAATTATGAATGTGATCGTTGATGATGCGGTTATTGAAGGAGCCGATAATGATAACCACTTGAAATATGGGGAATGTAAGTACCCGATGATGTGTTTATCTTTAATTTTAAACCATATATTGACCACTAACTTTATTTCTTGACCTGTCTATGACAAATAAGAGCATGTTTTCATTAATGAATGAAATTTTTCGAAAACTTTCAAGAATATTGAAAATTTGTTTTGATTGCTAAAATATTTTTATGTTGATATTAAATTTGTGTGATTCGATCTGCATATAATGTATTAAAACTATTAGAATTACTTCGGAAACAATATAAATAGAAAACCTTTAATTCTTCAAAAATAACAACCATTTTGCATCAATGTGGTGCAGAGGAACACCGTGCGTTATCTTTGGATTTATATGTATACCAAGAACGTTCTTTTACACTACTTGGTGTAAAGTAGTAGTCACCATGTTTGTTATTCAGTAACACTAAGATTTATAAATATATTATGCATCTAAGAATCAGTAAAGTTATTTTTATGATACAAAGTAAAGCAAGAATAGTTTACTTTGGATTCTGGAAAAATACGATTAATTTGTCAATGAAACATGCGCACTGTTCAAAAAGAATATTCGTATGAACTCGAGTAAAGTTAAACAAAACCGAAGGGATTAAAAACTAACTATTGCAAAATTATTTAATACAACTAAGAGATTTTTGTTCCTCTCCTTGCAAGAAAAAAATTATCTTTATTGTACATACAACGAAAAATATAGATTATTTATTATGATAATTTTACTTCTTTGACATTTTGAGACAAAATCAAACTTACACCTTCTCGATTATAAACAAAAATTATCGATTCTCTGTTTCCTAAAAATAATTCATTAATGAAGTAAAAGCATCTGCGTTAGGTGTAAGCCTTATCATTTATGGGAGTTAAGATTTAATTGATTTCTTTAAAGAACGTATAAAGGCTCGATTTGGTATTAACTTAATTTTTTAGACATAATTTTTAGAATTTATCCCTAAAATCAGATAGGTATTACACTGCAGTCTTTACAGTTTACTAACTAATTTGGTTTGGTTTTAAGATAATAGTTTCAAGAATCAATGTAGTCAAGATGATTGACTGTTGTTTTATATTTAAAAAAAACTATAATATTCATGTAGCTTTTATACTTATATTTTCTTTACTTTATATCGATAATTTCCATATTATTCCGTAAATGGTGATACATCGTTATCTAAAATTCCAATAGTTATGACACTGTAAAATCTGTTGTGTAACATTACTCCGAATTTGATGCTGAAATGCCCTAAAATTTGCTTGAAATAGCACTTTTTTTTCAAGTTTGCACAAAATCCAGGGTTCATAAACAATTTAAATGGTACATGAAAGCTCGAGGCATAGAAAATGCAAAAAGGTTTCCCCGAAAACACCCACCTTTATACCATAAAGTAAGTATTGACGTGAACAATCGAGAGATTTATCTCGGCGCGATTTGATCACATCTGTAATATTGTTTACAATCGATAACGAGTTGGCGAATGTTTGTGGCTGTCTTCAGTGTTGTTTTTCATCTGAAGGAACTCAAGTTCGCCTTTGTAACTAAGTATGCATATTTTTAATTGTGAAATAAGGATAGATATTTTTTAATTTACAAGTCCTCTTAAACTGCATTAAATGATTTTATAATGTGTCAATTTCATCTGCTCCTGCTCTGTTAAGTCTAGTGCAATTTCATCTTAATATTCTCTTTGCTACGTGTACCTCTGATTTAAAAAATCATTTTATTTTAAGAATTAGTGCCTGAATGCAACCAACGTTTCGTATTCTTACTTTCTTTGTCTCTTAAAAATAACTTTGCTGATTCTTATTCTTTTCACATCTTAATGTAATTACAAAACTTATTGTTACTAAATAACAATCATGGTGCTTAGTGGAGGCTATTTTTCACCAAATAGTGTAAAAGTACACTATAAACGTTTCACAGCAACGTTTCACAGCACATCCTTTTAATTTAGTGTAGTGGAACACCACTTTGTTCTAAAGTAGTTTACAGTGTATTGATTTAAAAATAAAATTTAGCAAATGCATAAATTATGAAATTTGCGCGTCTGAATTTCTGACAGTATCTATTTTGATGCAATTTGTCGAGTCAAACTTTCACAGCAACATTTAAAATTATAATAATTTTTACTAATTATTTAGTTTCTGTGACATTGTTACGAAATTCTGCTATATAATATAAGAATTACGAAGTTTCAGAAAATATTTTTAAATATCACATTGGCAATCTAAAGACGGTGAGCATTATAATAGATAGAAAAATCTCTGTTTATTGCATTGCGATACAAAATAGTGATATTAAGATTCTACCTGTAAAAGGAATAACAGCCTTTCATATATCAGTGAAAGAAACAAGTGTCGTAAAAATTAAGCTCAAAATATGCTAGTTCAATGCGCTTCCAAATTTACAATAATGGAGGAAAAACTTTCTGTTTTTAAATTTTTAAAATTTTTTTTTCAAGAAATCCTACAGAGGTTTCAGGAACCGGAAATAAATTACGAACAAAAAAGTGTGTTTTGGAACACTAATAACAAAAAATATAGCAATAGGCTTGTAACTTGCATTGATGATTTTAGTTTTTTATTAAGTGAGAGAGGAGCTAGTGTGGGCATGGAGCTTACGAGGTTATCTTGAATAAATTTTTTGATTGGTCAAATCTACTCTCTGAGATATCGTAAGTTGGCAACACTGATGTTCATCTTCATATGCAGTTAGCTTAATCACACTGTGAATACTCTTAAAAGAAGTGTTTTAAAGTGCAAAAGTAACTATAATAGCAATTTTTAAACAAATAATCATCAATATCTAGTTCAGTAAGCTTAATAAAATTTAAAGAATAGAAAAAAACCTATATAAAGAGATGTCTTACTTCTTTGCCATTTACGAACCATTGAAGGAAGGATGGAGGTTTAGAAGGACCGGAGATGCAAGTAATATTCAGATCATCTGCAATGGAATATCTTGGTCTTGATCCTACAATAGTTGGATCTTTATTCGGTAGAACTGGAACAGAGGAATACGAGTTTTTAAGTGCGTATTATCACATTTTATAAGATCTATATGAAACCCACTCAGCACAAAGCTAATAAAATATTTTGTATATAAAAGCATTGAAAAAAGCCCTATGAATATTTCAAGGGTGATACAGAATGTTTACATGTTATTGTCATAAATAAAAAGATTCTATTTTCTTTGTAACATTTATAATATAATATTGTCGTAAATATAATCAAAATATCATGTTAATATTAGCTTATATATTATTGTCAGCTGCTACAATGAAATTTTACAAAATTAGATTTCAGAAACGTTTCTGAGACTGATATTTCGTGCTAGATTTAATTACTCATTATTCTACAAGACGGTACGCACAGCATAGGTATTATTAAAATCACACCTTTATATTAAAATAAAAAAGGTAATAGGCTCAGTAAATAATTGTAAATTTTTATGTGATGTACATAAAGTGGGCAAAATAAGATTTAAAAGAAAATTTTGAAAAAAACTGTGAAAACCATGACAAATTAAAATTGGCTTACAAAATATTTCAATTAGTGTTTTAAATATGATATAACCTTTTTAAAATTTAGTATCGAGTTCTAAGTGCAAAATATAGTTTATATCCATTAATCATTGTATACTTTTTTTATATTATTAATAAATTAGTAGTACATTATAAAATAGAGAACATTTAAATAAATAATATATGTTTATACAATAATAGATTAGTTCCATTTGAGATTTAATCTTTATAAAACATAAAATTTAAATCTAATACAGGTATATCACACGATGAAAATTATTGGCAACGAATCAATCGTAAGCGCAATCGCATCCTTATCCTCCCCAGAAAATTGCTAGAAAATGCCCGCTTGATATAGGAATTGTAATATCAGTAAAATATCAGTAACCATTTCTCTCGATTGAGAAAAAATTGCCTATAATTAAGCGCAAATCACACGTGGACCAATCAGATTGTTTGCCTTTCATGACGTTTCAATTTTATGTAGTGGCGTTTACAAAGGTAAATCAAGATCCTGATCCTTATGTGTGGTTTACAAAGGTTTATAATCATGACGGAAATGGAGATGGAGAGATCGTTTGAATGAAATTTTTCAATAATTAAACAAATCAGTTTTGAAGTTTAAAAATTATTTCTCTTTAAATTAGAGCATTAAAAATACTTTTGTATGATGATGTAGAAAACTTAATGCAGTTGATGTACCATAATAGCAACCTGCACATAAATTTAGAGGTGATAAGTGTAATAAACTATTTTTAAGTCAAAGTTTCTTTTTAGAATATTTATTCTCCTTAAACAAATAAAATTAGAACTTATTATAATTTGTTCCAATCAAAACTTTGTTCACTTTTGCTTGAAGTAATTTATATTTTTATGCATGGTGAATATATAGATGATGAATTTTCCTGGCAAGAAGTTTCATATAAAATAATTGCTAATTTTTCAACTCGCTAAACATTGTTGTATAATTCTAAAATATAAAATATATCGAAAATACATTACTTTATTTTTAAATTTTAATCTTTCTTTCTGCTGAGTGTGTTGTTTTGTTCCGTTGATTTTTTTATATTTTTTATTTATGAAATAATTATTTTATTCTTCTCTCAGAGCTCTTTTAATTTTTGAAAAGCTTATATTGAAACAGTAAAAAGTTGGAAAACTTAGAAAACATGTGTGGCAAATATTTACCTACCCTCCCAAAAAGTTACCTTACCTTACGCTAATTATTTAAAAGTTTTTAAAAAGAGTAGAAGTACATAATATATAAAAAGTAATACATAAAAAGTCATTTTTAAAGATACAAATTAAACAATCCCAACTGCCCTATATTCCACAATCCCTTTCCTTTCCATATCCTTATCTGTTTCTACATTCATCCTTCTTAGTTTTGGTACATTATGATTTGCATAATATCTTATCTATTATTATTCAAAGTTAACATACTTTATACTTATCAATAAGTATCATAAGTATCAGTTAAGTATCAATAGCTTAGGTATTGTGAAATATCAATACCTAATCTATTGATTTTTTTCTAAGACAGGAGCAACTATGTAAGTTTATAGTACTAATTTTTTAATATAGTTTCATTTTCAATTAATAAAAAATGTCCTAATGTAATTTATGTTTTCTAAAACAAATAAATTTCAGTCTAATCATAAAAATCACAGAATCAATTATACTTTCCATATTTCTTTGTGTATCGAATAATCCTAAAACTATACTCAAATATCTATTAGACTTAAAATAGGTTTTTAAAGGATACCTGGAAGGAAAGTGTTTAAAAGGTGGTGTTTTAAAGGAAGACTTAACTGATTTCAAATTATTGTTATTCTAACAATGTGAAAGTTATGCTTCATTATGATTATTTTTTCTTCTATTTCAAATATTTTGTATCTGTATTGTCTGTCTGATGCAGAAGGAAAGAGATATAACATTGTTTTTATGCTTTAAATTAAAATATATATATATAAGTATTNTATTGACGTGTATGAGAAATTGGATTGCTTAAACACTTCTAAAGCTTTAAAATAATTTTCTTAGTATTTCTTGAGAAATATATATATATATATATATAAAAATGTAAATGAATAATGTTCTAAATGTTACACTTAATATTAAGTGTTTTATTTTCTAAATTGATTCTTGTGTTATTCAAATTCAGAACACATTTAAAGCCAATAACAAATATAATAGAGCACACAAGAAAGAGAGCTCTTAATGAAATATGTTTTAGATATTATTTAGTTTGAATTTATATATTGTATATTACAATAAATTTGTCCTGAAATAAGTACTGTAATTTTTAATTAGTTATGTTATACCAATAATGAATGTTTTAAATTTTTCAATTATAAACTGTATAAGTATGACACTTAATTCATCAAAACTAAGCCTCTTGTATTTTTACTTTTTAAAAAAAATATAATCTGTAAAAGTAATATATCTGATAATAATTACAATTAATGTAATATCAATTAATTAACTAAATGATAATAAGACTTCACGAAATTGTTATATTGAAAAGTCAAATATTATATTTATGTATTTTTTTGACAAAATTTAGAAACAATGAAATTTGATGTGACAAATCTAATGGTTTGGATGTTATATGTACTTTATTAGTAAAATGCATGCCGAAAATTGTAAATTTCTTACATGAAATAACTAATTGCTTCAAAGGAATAATTTTCATTTATCAGATTTGGTGTACAAAATTAAATTTGAAGCAATACCTCAATTGTTTAGATAGCGATGTCAGTTGCGTGAAGTGGTATAAGCAAAGAATTGTTTACTTTGTACACACGAAACCTCCTAGAAATTTTATAACTTATAAACTATTAAATCAGACAACTTGGTTTGTTTCTCTTTCCATTTAGTGTAATGATAACCATAGGTAACGATACCCCTCTTTATAGCAATGCTAGATGCCTGAATAGATAAAAAAAAACGTACTTTTTATACAAAAAACCTAAATAACTATATTTGTCACTCGATTCAACATAAAAATATTAGATAGCAGTCTTTTAAGTTAACCCTCTTATCCTGTTAGAAATGGAATATGAAATGCCCCTATATTTTAAAATCATTTCCATATCAGTGATAATCATTTTGCACTATGCAGCTCCACTAATGTGCAAATGAATTGTTTAGAATTTTTATTTGCAGCTGAATAAAGGTTATAAAATTCACAAAATTAAACGGATATCAATCGATATTCTGAAACATCTGTGATTTCCTTTTACTCCCTTTACGAACTGCTTTGGGAAACTATGAGATAATATAAACAAATAATATTAGCCAAATTTAAGATACATAACAAAAAAGGGTAACCCTTTACAAGCAAGCGTTAGGGCAATTAAGTAACCCTATCGGCATCTCCAAACCACAAAATTGACTTTAGAGTTGAAAATAATGTATAAGTTATATTTATGTTTGCTCACATTTTTCTCTCTACGATAACCGTATAGTTTATAAATATATAAACAAACTATTTGATACAAAATTAAATTAATTTAAAAATTGCATTTTAATTACACAAAGCGCCTTTTAAAATGTTTTTAATTTGATATACATTTATCATTAACACAATAATGCAGTAAAATATAACTTTCAAATTTACAAATATAAAATTATACAATTCAATTACATTGTGAAATGACTACACTATTTGAGATTTAAACATTATGAAAAAAAAAATTAAAATTTAATAAATAAATGATAAAATTTTATTGCATACAGTAACTTTATTATTAATTACATCAAAAGCATTTAAGAATCTTTAAAATATTCAAGTGTTCATAAAATTATAATTAACTTCAACTCAAGTTCTTATCATAAAGTTTACATCCTTGCGTAAATGTCATGTGCATTATAAATTCAGTTTCTAATGTATTTGCTTTAGTGCGCGTACATCGTCTTGCTTATTGGCGTAATATATGGATTGATATAGTTCATTAAATTGTCAACATAAATCTCTTAAACTGTTCCATTAGAGTGAACAGATCATTACAAATTCAGTAAGTTAAATTCAAGTCTTTGAATTACTTCAATTTAATTCACTGAAAGACGTAATAGTTCAGGAATTGGTATTTTCTCCAAAACATTGCGATACGTGAGTTCTCAAACACAATTCAGAATTAAACATACTATATAAATGTAAAATCACATGAGCAATACTGCAGAAATTATATAGATCTGAAAAATAACGCGGTGTAATTAGAGAAATTGTAAGTTCTTTAGCTAGCTATAAAATGAAACCAGTATCCAGATAATACAATAAAACCAATACAGATTGTTACAGGGACGTCATAATAAAGTCAGAAACGGTCACAGTCACAGGTGTGATAGTTTTGAATTGTCTCAAAGAGGTCATAACGTGACTCTGATGTTACTCTGTGTTGTGATATCACATAAAAGTCTCCATTATTATTTTTGTGATTTTAATAACTTGGTAGTCACAAATATACTTTACTGGAAC